GCTGCTTGGTCCCGGGCATCGGGATTCAGCCGCTGTTGAAACTGACCAGCGGCTGACTCCAGGAAGCCCGGGGCAGAGCTGCTCTGCCCCAGGCTTCCTGGAATCTGCCGCTGATCAGTTTCAACAGCAGCTGAATCTGGAGCCAGTTCCGACTTACATACAAATTCAACTTAAGAACAAACCTACAGTCCCTATCTTGTACGTAACTGGGGACTGCCTGTATAGCTAACTGTATAGCTAAGATCATAAAAGATCACAAGCTAAATACAGTGTGACACTGTTGCAAAAAAGCAAACATGATTCTGCGCTGCATCAACAGGAGTGTTGTGAGCAGGATAGGAGAGTCATTCCTCCACTGTACCCTGCACTGATTAGGCCTCAGCTGCCTCAACTGGAGTCTTGTGTCCAATTCTGGGCATCACATGTATGGAAAGATGTGGACAAATTGGTGAAGGTCCCAGAGAAAAGCAACAAAAATGATAGCAGAACTGCCTGCGTCCTCCATGGCGAGAAAAGCATGGTCTGTTGGGTGGGAGGTGCACTAGCTGCGCCCCCGCCCCAGCAGACCAGAGAGACGAGGAGCGGCTTTTCTCGCTGTGGCTTTGCTCCGCGTTTGCCTGGTCTGCAGGGGGTGCCCCCCCGGTCTGCTGGGGGGAGCCCCCCAGCAGACCAGGGAGACGCGGAGTGGCTTTTCTCACCGTGGCTTTGCTCCACGTCTCCCTGGTCTGCTGGGGGACCCCGCGCCTTTGAAAAAACCTTTAAAAAAAACGGCACAGACACACACAGCAGAGATTTTTTTGGGGGATTTTTTTTGATTAATAATTTCCCTCTCCTTCCACAAAGGGCATTCAGGTCTATCTTTGGCACCGTACAGTGGTTCCCCGAGTGGAGGTGCACCGCTCCTGGAAGTACTGCAATACCAGGTCGATACGTGGAGTGGACGGAACAAGCTCCTGTTCCGACCCCCTGCTCCAAAAATCCATTTAAAATAAAGATCTCAAATAGAAATCATATCAGATATTAAACTGATAAGGAGCACGTGCGACGCTTCCAGGTAAGGACCGAGCGTTGGGCAGTCAGGCGAAATGCCCTGCCAACGTCAGGGTACTGACTTGGGAACTGTTACGACGCCAATACAGCCTACTGACCCAGCCCCACCTTTCCGCCATTCGCACTCCTAGAGCATGCTTACGCTGGTCTTAGCCAAAAGGCCGAGAAGCGATGGCTTGTGTCGCCCCCCCGACCGAGGTACCCCCTCGCCCACACATCTCTGCGCTACCGGGAGCGCCCGGCATCCGTGCGCTGCCCATCCGCGCCGGTCGCCAGGCTTCCTGAGCCACCGCTTGGCGGCCAGGGCCCTGCAGGCGACGGTCCCTCGCC